GACAATGTTGCACTATTGGATTTACCCTTTTTTGTTTATTCACATTAATTATGGAAAACTTTACACAGCACCTATACCTATTGGTGGGGAGTGCACCCAAACATGCTACAGTAAGTGGAGTTTGTTTGAAGCCCCATGATATGAGAGTGCAAATTTTCACTTAAGTGTTGTGTATTTACAAAGAAGTACTACACCATAGAATGTTTTGTTTTGTGTATTTTACATGTACCCATGGAAAAGGAACTTATAATAAAAAGAAGAAAGCTCATTTGGTTACTACCCCATATGTACTTTTTTATATTGAAACTTTATATGTTTTTATATTATTTGGCGTAACCTGTTTTTTTCCTTGTTTTATTTTGTTCTTCCTTTTTTAAGGGACTGAGGGAATCCTTTGTGTTCAGGGTTTGCTGTCTGACAGTTAGTTATAGTCAGTTGGGTGAATTTTTAGCACTTATTCATCTTTCTGTGTACTCTCATATGTATAATCAGCGCTTTATCTATCACAAGGCTAACAAAGCATCTGTGAGGGAGAGGGAGCTGTAATCTTCCTGCTCTTCTTGCTCTGCTCCCTCCCATGCCCTGCTTTACTAAATAGTGCATGAGGGAGCAGAGCATGAAGAACAGGAATATGACAGCAGTCACACTGGACTCCAGGGAAAGAATCCACTCCATCTTTCACAAAGGTAGGGAGGCTGGTTGGACTTAAATCAATGAGTATGTAACTATTAGTGTATGTGTGTGTCTGTGTGTGTATGCGAGTGTGTGTGCAGGTGAAAGTGTGTGCATCTGTCAGAGTGTGACAAATCAGTGAGGGTGTATATGTCTATGAGTGTGTGTGTGTGTGTCGAATCAGTGAGAGTATGTGTCTGACAGTGAGTGTGTGTGTTTGTGTCAGGAATAGAGTTTCCCTAACACGCAAACCTAAAGGTAACAGTAAAGGTACACATACCGGTCCTTAGAGTTGCCGGGTTAGTGCCTGGGACAGATATATGAAATGTCTGCAAGCAGACAGAGAATAAATGAGAAACAAGCAGGGGACAGGATTACAGAAATACATGGAATTGATAGCCAGGACAAGATCAGGATAACAGAGAGGAAGAATAGTCAAACAAGCCAAGGTCAGATAACTATTAGGAAATCTAATACACAGTAAACACACTCTTAGTTAAGAAGAACCACGACAGGGCAGGTAAACAAGGACATCCTGGAAGTGTTTATACCCTATACTGTGTAGTGTTTGGTCACAGAGGACCATGATGTCACAAGCCTGTACACATCATCAAAAAGCGACACATGGCTGACACTATAAAAAGAGGACTAAAGGGAGAGGTCATAATGTCACAATAAGGCACCAGGAAGTTAGGGATTAATGTGTGTGCATCAGATCTCAGACAATACATAATATCTGTGATTGCACGGTGCCACGAGGGACAGGTATCGTGACAGTCTGCCAGAGTGTATCAAATCAGTGAGCGTGTGTGTATGTCAGTGTGTGTCATTAAGACTATAGTAGTGTATGGGTATCTTAGAGTATGCCTGTCAGTAAGTGGGTGTCTCAGTGTGTATCTTCCATTGAAAGTGTGTGCTGGTTAAACAATGTGTGTGTGTCAATGACTGTGTGTGTGTCTGTCAGTGAGTCTATATCAGTCCGTGTGTAACAGTGAGTACTGTCTGTTAAAGTGTGTGTTGGTCTTAAACTTGAAGAAGTGCTGCTGTGACAGGAAGGGATGTCGGAGTTTAGTCATGCCTAGTGCAGCACCAAACCAAAATACACAATACACGACTGTGTATACTCCTTCATTTTCATTTATCTGACTCACTTGTTTTATGTATGTAGTTCTCTCTTTAACAAAGCAATTTGAAAATATATAAAAAGAATGCATTTTGTAATGCAAACATTCCTTTCCATGAGAGAGGTAATCCATGCTATAAAGATTATAAATAGCCTGTAAATGTTGCAAATATTTCATAATATTGCATTAAAAATGTAAATAATAAAAAAAAAAAGATAAAAATAAATCTTAAAATATCTTGTTCAAAACTAAAATAGTGTTTTATCAAAAATCCATTTCAAAGGCAGAGAAATATAAACTGTAGACAAATCGGGTAAAAGGATATTTATATAAACCTCAGATTATAGGAAAGTGGCAAAAGTAAAATTCATGAGATTATTTCGGATAACCCTAATTTTATGAGCAATTTCTTTTATACCATCAATATTTTTTTAAATTTAATAGTGGCATTTACAGCACTTTTATAAACTGTCAGATTTTAAAACAAATCTATGATGATATGGCTTGACTTGAGGCATGCTCAATATGTAGAAAATGCAGTAATTTTTCTGCCAATTATAAAAATTATTTCTGGATGGCAAGTAATCTTTTAAACCTCAAAGATAAAAAGGAGATAAAACTTGATGTGCACTAGCAGTGTTTCTGATGACAATGGTTCTACCATTCACTAATATATTATCAAAATAATGTAATTTGCACAACCAATAATTTTAGTTATTAGCAGCCCCTCCCTTCCACAAACTGGAGACACAGATGGGGTGATGGGGTTAATATGAGGAGAGACATATATGGGGGTTTGGACAGTTGTAGAGACACATATGGGGGTTTGGACAGGTGGAGAGACACAGGTGGGTGTTGATAAAGGAGGAGAGGTACAGATGGCGGGTTAAGTATGGGATGGTGAGTTATAGAGAGAATGAGGAGGGTGGTAAACTTTGGAGACATAAAATAAGAAGAGTTGAACAATGACATCCTTAATGTAGCCATGCTAAGTTGCCTAATTAATTATATATATATATATATATATATATATATATATATATATATATATATATGACATCATGGTATGCAAATCACAAGGTGTGACGTATGTGTAAAATAATACATTTGGAAAGGGGAAAATTCAGTAAATTACGAAAAAAAACAGTTTGATTATGCTTTATAGAGGGGTTGAACTGCTGTTTGGGGAGATTGGATTGCTCTACCGAGTGATAACTCAATGGACCCAGCAGTATGTATATATTGTACATGATGCATACAAGTTTGATGTATATATTGTACATAATGCATACAGGTTTGATTATGTTGGTGAAGTTTACAAAACTAAAGACAAAGTCCCTAAACACCAAATTTTAATAAATTACCATCCCATTTGCAATATGTAGGTTCAAATAACCTAGCTGTGCCTAGTGTAAATTGGGTAATTTAATCAAATCAATTATTTTTGTCTATAATTTACAATTAATATTTCAATTCACTTTACTATGCAGTTTAACTCCTTTAGAACCGCGGATGTACTAGGTATGTCTGACAAAAAACGGTCCTTAGGGACCTCAGACGTACCTAGTACATCCGCAGCATTCCTTATTACTTACCCGATCGCCGGCATGTTGCTCCCAGTCTGGGGGGACTGCCTAACAGCCCACACAGTCCCCCCTCAGCAAATTAAGCCCCTGCGGGCCATGTGATCACTCTGAAAGAATGGTCACATGGCCACATTAGCCGTCCATGCATCTGCCTGAAGGGGGACTGCCTGAACTGAAACAACGTTTCAGTTCCCAGTCAGAACTTTCGTCAGGATCCTTACAAAAGTTCCGACTGGGAAATGAAACGTTGTTTCATTATGGCATACTGCTGAATAAAAGCTAAGTTGTTTTTTTTTCATCTTACCAACAAGTCCTTGGAGTGCTATCTGTCTATATTTTGTTATGTATATGTATATACACTATATATTCCACCTGTTTCATATATATATATAAATAAATAAAAAATAATACAAAATATATACATATATCCAAATACATAATTACATAAATAATTTCATAAACATACACATAGACTTCAAATATGTATATATGTATATATATTTAAATTCTATGTGCATATTTATGTAAAATTTTTACATAATTAAGTAATTTTATTGATTGAAATTTCAGGGACCTGCCTGACAACCCAGGCTGAAAGTCCAGATAATTTAATTTGCTAGCACTGTATTTAACTGTATTTAACCCTGTAACTTTCCATAACACCCTAAAACCCGTACATGGGGGGGTACTGTTTTACTTGGGAGACTTCGCTGAACACAAGTATTAGTATTTAAAAACAATAAAACATATCACAGTGATGATATTGTCAGCGAAAGTGATATTTTTTGCATTTTTCCCACACGCTCACACAGTTTACTGTTTTGAAACACTAATATTTGTATTCAGAGAAGTCCTGGGTATAACAGTAACCCCCATGTACAGGTTTTATAGTGTTTTTGAAAGTTACAGGGTCAAATATAAGGTTTGATTTTCCATTTTTTTTACATTGAAATTTGCCAGATTGATTATGTTGCCTTTGAGAGCGTATGGTAGCCCAGGAATGAGTATTACCCCAATGATGACATACCATTTGCAAGAGAAGACAACCCAAGGTATTGCAAATGGGGTATGTTCAGTCTTTTCTAGCAGCCACTTAGTCACAAACACTGGCCAAAGTTAGCGTTCATAATTGTTTTTTGCATTTTTAACACACAAACAAATATAAATGCTAACTTTGGCCAGTGTTTGTGACTAAGTGGCTACTAAAAAAGACTTGACATACCCCATATTGAATACCCTGGGTTGTCTACTTTAAAAAAATATGTACATGTGAGGTGTGATTCTG